AAAAAGGTTGATACCAGGCCCTGTTATACTACATGAGCAGATTATTCTGGATATAGTATTAAAGTAAAAGTAAACACGTGTTGTAACTTCTCACATTTCCCCTTTGACATTTGCAACAGGACATCTGAAAAAGACCTAGGGGAGTTAATTAGCAGTAATCTCATGAAGAAGAAGCAGTACAGGGCAGCTACTGGAAGACCAGATAGGTGTTGTGTTGTGAGTGAAGGAGGTCCTGCTTCTCCCCATAGTGATAAGGTGACAGACACTACGGGGACATTAGACAAATTGCAGAGTAACTTGAAGGCTGAAGCCAGGAGAGTCAGAGAGCAATTTCATAAAGGATACCTGAAGGAACTGGGAATGCTTGACTTGAATTTTAAGACTCCTGGGAATTATGTCCTCATTATTGCCATTTGCATTAGGTATTAGATCTGTTCTGTGTCACCTCAAAGGGCATGTAAACTCTGGCAAAGTTAAAGGAAGGCACATCTGACTCAACACACAAAGAGCCACTTCCTGATAGAGCTGTCTGTAAGTGGACAGGACCCCCTGAGCCACAACTGACTTTGCTATTTGTAGGAAGCAACCTTGGCTGTTTCAGAAGGGTAGAGACGTTAAACAACCTCCCCTCCATACTTAATGTTTTTTCCTTCTTTAATAGAAAGGAGAGATAGACTGATATAAAAGACAAACAAACCTATGAATCCTAGTCTACTGAAGTCTTTCCTTGCAGCCAGGGACATGGGGTGGGGAGGATGTCGACTCCCTTATCAGCAGGATTGTCAAGGAGAGTTGAGTGGGAACCAGGATAGGCATGTTTTATTTAACATATCCTTTATATTTGGGCCTGAGGCACTTGGGCACAAAGTAACTGCAGAAAGAAAACATTATTAATGGGCTAACCTTTTCCAGCAAGGTCAAAGAGCATTTGAGTAAAGCTAAGAAAACTGAAACTGCTTGATGTATTTATTTCTTTGAAGTATCTTAAATAAGAGTAGATCTGATATTATTTAGTTTGAATTCCACGTATAAATCAGAACCAAAAGAAATTAGCTTTGTAGATATGTTACAGACATATGTTATTCAAAGAACTTCAAAATATAATTGTGCTTCATGCCTCTGTGAAGATGGCACTTAACAGGATGCTCACCTGTTGTGTGTGTAAATTTCCAGTGTAAACTATGCTAGCTTTGACAGTGAAATTAATGGCTAGTTAAGTGTATGTGTTTTTGTAAATATATGCATATATACACAAATATGTGCACATGCACACATGTATACAGAATGTATGTGAAGGAGAACACATGATTTTTCTTACGTGACAGAGAAATAGTTTTATCTGCTTTTGTTAAAACACAAAATGTATGGTAAACTTCTCATCCACCCCACTCCCTAGTTTATTGTCTCAGGGTATATATAAATAACTTCTTTAAAAAATGAGAAATTAAAATTCTCTGGTTAAAATATTTGTTCATGTGTTTTCATTTTTTAGGTAGAAAAGATTATCTGTAATTTAAAACCAGCTTTAAAACTTCGTCTTCGATTTATCACACACATTAGCAAGATGGAGCCAGCTACAGTACCTCCGCAGGCCGCAAACAGTGGGTCTCCAGCGCCTCAGTCTAATCAGGTGCCCGTGTCTTTACCAGTAACTCAGTGAAGTCAGGCAGTACTGTGGTGATGTGGAAATGCATCTACCTTTGAAAGTGGACTCAGATTATTAAATCTGAACGTGCTCATGCTACGTGGTGATGCAGTAGAAGCAGTGATGTTCAGATTATTTTATTCAGTTGGCCCAAAAGTCCATTTGGTTTTTTCCTTAAGATGACTCTGGTAGTGCTTCTTTGTCTTTAACTGCATTTGAAACAGTTTTGTTAGATTGTATTGTGACAGCTGTCATCTCAGCGTGCATTTAAAAACACTTAATCAAAATGGGTGAAAATTTGTGTAGCAATTTTAATATTGAAAATGGAAGAAAATGCACAATATTTTTGGCCCATTATGCTTTATTATCTCAAGAAAGGCAAAAACACAACTGAATGCAAAAAAAGATTTGTGCAGTGTATGGAGAAGGTGCTGTGACTAAACGTGTCAAAAGTGGTTTGCAAAGTTATGTGCTGGAGATTTCTCGCTGGATGGCTGGGTAGACCAGTTGAAGTTGACAGCGATCAAACTGAGACATTAACTGAGGACAATCAACGTTATACCATGTGGGAGATAGGCCGACATACTCAAAATATCCAAACCAATAATGTTATTGGTGAAAATGAAAAGTGTGTCTTTTATTTAACGGAAAAAACCATGGAGACTTTTTGGCCAACCCAATATTTTGATTCAAATGGTGAATCTATTGACACCTTATAACTCCCACCTCCCTGTCTATACTTATGTCTCTAAGAGATCAAGTAAAGTACACGTTGTTCATGTACATAATTGTTCATTAGAGCTGCTTAGGAACATCGAGATATCTGTGATCAAGACTTTTATGAGATGCTCTCAATCTTTCTTATTCTAGCCACGGGTTTAGTTTTTATATTTTATTATTAATGTTATTCTGTCTTGAAACACATTTTTTCAAGGCACCACCCATGTAGAACAGTTATTGTCTGTCCTTTTATATGTAACTCTCTTTTGGTGTGTGTTTGGGATAAGAGATTTTTGTCATGTAAAGAACTAAAGATTTCATTGCATTGCAGGAGTAAACACAGTTTCATATTCTTTTTAAATGGCTTAAATTTTTTATCATAGATTTCCAAGTAAATAAGCTAATGTTCCTAATCGAGGTAGATTGGCAAGTTTATGCCTTTACTGTGGACTTGAACTTAACTGTATGAAATGAGTTGGAAGTGATGTAAGTAAATAACATAACTATAAATGCAGAAACAATAATTCATGTTTAAATGGGGATTCTTCAATCTCTGTTTTTAAAAACAAATTAATTGCTTTTCCAGGTTGACATTCACTTGGCAGATGATGTGATTCTTTGAATTTTTATAATCTTAACATTTTTAAATATTTATTTTTTAAATGCAGTGTACATTTCTGTTCTTTAGGGCTTATTAAATTTTGAGAAACTTAATGTCAGTTTTGGGGGAAAATTGCGTTAAGTTTGTAAAACACGTCAGAAGTAAAACCTGTTAAGTGAACAAACTGTCTGGCTGAGTACTCAGTGTGAGTGAGCGTCAGCTGTGTGCTGGGCAGGGTGCTGGCTGGGTTGTGGCAGAGAATGGGGCTCCTCCCATGAGTTGCCCAGTACACTGGTGACTGACATTGACCTAGAACTACAAGTTAGTGAAGTTTAATCAAATTTATTTCCAAGTACATCTTCCTAGAGCCTTATCTTTTTCATGGTTCATATTACTACAATCACTAAACCTTTATTTGCCATGCAAGTCCAGCTTAATATTATATAATGGTATAAGTAATTTTCCAAACTAATATTGTTAAAATTCTCCAGAGATTTTATGCTAGAAATGAATTCAAATGCTACTCTTAACATAGTCTCAATATAGTCTCAATATAGTCTTGCTACCCGAGGAATATATTGCTTTGAGATCCTGGAGTGGGAATCATTATGGCACTGGTATTATACAAATAGAATAAAGGAAATGAAAATCAATATCACTTTCTCAAGGATATTTATACACATTCCAATTTATTTATTAAAAATGCAATTTCTTCTTCTCTAGCATTAAACACTAGAACATGATATTCCCCAAATGGGCTTTTTAAAGAATTATTATTAATCAGAGACATTAATAGAAGACAGAAGCTTGGATTTGGAATGCACCTGAGGGACAAAAATGTGTTTGTATTCATTACATTCTAAAAGTTTTTGTTTGCTTGGCTGTTTTTTTCACTAGTAACTTCAAAGCGGCTCTGTCCAACGGGCCTTTCCGCAGTGGTGGAAATGCTCCTTGTCTGTGCTGTTCAATACGGTCGTCGGTCACTGCATGCACCTGTTGTGCACTTGAAATGCGGAACTGAATGTAAAATTGTGTTAAACTTTAAATAACTACATGTGGCTACTGTGTCGGACACTGTACTCTAGAGCAAGATCCAGCCTCATTGCTCTTATCTAAAAGTAATTCAGTAAAATATTTGTTTACAAAATCCATATGTCAATGGTTAGGTTTACAATTCTGGGCTGCATATGAAAAATCAGATGGTAGAAGCTCTAATATTTAATCATTTTGTTTTTCAATTACAGTTGACATACAGTATTATGGTAGTTTCAGGTGAACACCTCAGTGATTAGACATCATATAACTTACTAAGTGAAAGTCCTGATAAATCTTGCACCCATCTGACACCACACAGAGTTATTAGAGTAATATTACTACATTACTCCCTGTGCTGTAGTTTACATCCCCATGACTTTTCTGTAACAACCACGTTGTACTTCTTAATCCCTTCGCCTTTTCCACCCATGCCCCCAACACCCCTCCCATCCGGCAACCATTGAAACGTTCTCTGTGTCTGTGAGTCTGTTTCTGTAAGGCTTGTTCATTTATTTTGTTTTTTAGATTCAATTGTTGATAGGTATGTATTTACTGTTCATATTTTTTATCTTTCTTTCCTTCTTAAAGAAGACCCTTTAACTTTTCATATAACACTGCTTTGGTGGTGATGAACTCCTTTGGCTTTTCTTGTCTGGGAGGCTCTTTATCTGTCCTTTGATTCTAAATGACAGCTTTACTGGGGAGAGTAATTTTGGTTGAAGGTCCTTGTTCTTCATCACTTTGAATATTCCTTGCCATGCCCTTGTGGGATGTGTTTATTTTTAATGCCAGCAAAATTTTTTTGGAAGTTAATGTATACTTCTCTTTCTATAAATCTTTTGCCAAAATATAAGCTTTTTAAGTTGACAAAAATTTCAATGTCCAAGTCTTTCACACCAAGAAGGAATTGATGCAGTTTATACTAATTGTACAACTATTTCCTAAGGCAGAACATTTTTCTGAAATACCAGATCTGTAAGAGGATAACCGTAAGCTTAGGTAAATTTCTAGATTTGGTCATCCTGTTATTAGCTGGGAGATTTGTGTATGATGTTTCCACATTTACTTAGGTGGGTTAAGGTAGTCAATAGGCTTATGACTGCCCTCCCGAGCAGTGCCGAAACAAGCCAAGGTTACTGCTACCGCTGTGTTGACTGTCCGAGTTACTTCTTCCGGTGTCTTCCCCAGAGATGGGTTCACTTCCATTATATCTAATCCCGACAGCAGTCCTACAACAACAAATGGAAACAAGGTAATTTGTTAAGCAGTTGACATTTTACATTCAATATCTTTGAAATATTACTTAGGAGTTCAAAGAAGGGATGACCAGCTGAAACCACTTCAGTTCTTACATCATGTGATGGACGTTGTAGAAGTGTCGACTGGGGCTTGAGTTTCAGGTTGTATAAATATATATTGGCCATGTGCATATTCGCTTTTTTATTCACTCAGACGTATACCTACCTGTTTTGTAAATTTCTTCTGTAATATAGAGACCTTCTCTGTAGGTGAGCCCTCCGGGGACTGGTGTGCCAGTGGCCGGTGTGACAGACGGGTCCAGTCCGTCCACGTCAAAGCTCAGGTGAATTGGCCTTTTCTTTCTTTTAGGAGGTGGGAAAGTAACTCAGTTTAAAGTCAGTGGTTTAGTATTTAGTAGACAAATAGCATTCTCCCTTTGCTCAATGAAAAGGAACAGCCCAGTGAAGTTTCACGGTTTTACAGAAAGGCTTCCCTAATAACTTTCATTGATTCGTGTCAGTAGTGAGTTCTTTAATAACTATATTTATGTCACACACACACAAGCATCATACCTTCCTAGTAGGTAGCTGAGTGTTTCTTCCATCACCTTGCCAATTCCCAGTTTGTCTACTTCAGTCATGGAGAAGTATTTAATGCCCAGAGTTTTCAAAAGGTAGCTATGAAAAAGGAGATATTAAGATAATCTGTCATTAATATGGAGGCTGACTGGGCATCCTCTTGTTTCCTTTTAAGAAAAGATCAATGTGGTAAAATACATAAAATATTTCAAGTCTGTAAACTATGTATATATCAATATATTTTTAACAGCAAGTCAATATGAAAATTGTGAATATATACATATATGTGTATATGCATGTATACCTATAAATATATGTAGACATAGGTGTAGATATATAGACTCGGCACTTAAGATAATTTTTCCTCATAGGTTTGGCCAGCACACCTAGCATACAAAAGAACGAGAATGAAGGTAAATCACATCAAGGAATAAACTTACTGTTCCCCTGGGTCCACGTCTCTCAGGCCAATATACACAATATCTTTGGCAGATATGCAAGGCGTCACCCAGGATAATCCTGGTACATCAGGGATCTAAAATTGCAATGTTTCCATTTGGTTATATATGCTTCTCTTGAGCAAATCTTCCATTGAAAGTTAAGTACACTTGTTGGATTGCATGCATCTTCTATGTAGAACATAAATTTTTAGGAATCGTGCAAATACGAAATGAAGAAGAGAATGCCTGCCATCCCTGGTAGTGCCCTGATGGCTTTGGCCCCGCCCAGCCCCACTGTGTGGCCCAGACCTAACCCGAATCATCCGTCAGCGCTCAGCAGCGTTTGATCACGTGCACACCCATTCCAGCAGAGCCCCCTTTCCCGGGACTCTTCTATAAGAAAGTCAGTGTGCTGCCATCACTCCCAGTCCTCCACTTCTCTCTCTCAATAAGGACTTAATCCAGAAGACGGCTCAGAGGGGCTCAGGGAGATTTTTGACCAACCCTTCGGTTGCTCTTTGAATGTCCTGGAGTCAAGCCTGTTTTATCTTAGATATTTTAGAAAAGAAGTTTCTAGGGAGCAAGAAGCTCATTCTACTTATGATATAGATATGTTTAGATAACATCTCACAATGAAGATGTTAAATAATAAATCATTGTACCCTTCACTTTAAAATGCCATTTTTAAAGAGAAGAGGCCCCATGATGTGGAGGGAAGACACTTGGTAAGAGTGAGAGGCTGGCTGTATGGCAGGCAATAGAGGTCGGTATCAGGAGACCAGTTCTGGCCCTTGCCTGACTCCTGACTATGTTTGGTGATCTTGGGTGAGTTGGGTTAACCTCGGAACCTCTGCTAACTTGATTATAAAGGACTACACTGTGCCCCCCACCCCGCCAACTACAAAGGGTAGCTGAAGAATCAAAAGGAAATATATAAAGTCATTTTGTGAATTATCAAGAAAGGGAGAGGTGCAGAACCTCACCACCTTTATCCTCCAACTCTTGCTTATTGATTGCCAAGAAAACAGTTTGAGAACACCAAGGATAAGATGTGAGAGGGTTTCTTCCTTCCCTCCACCTGAACTGCTCCTAAGATTATTCTTTTGTCATAGAATACCAGCCAGCCTTTTACCTTTCCCTTTAGTTCCTTCAGGAGAAAAGACACAGGTTGTCCATGCAAGTTCCCACTTGTGGTTGTCTGTGGAGTGTTGATGTCGGTGTGAGCATCCACCCAGATGACACAGAGATCCGGGTGGACCTTGGCATGGCCAGAGATGCTTCCGATTGCCAAGCTTGGGAGGAAAAAGTTTGTGTGAATATCAGGTTTGCAGTAGCACGTACATCCTATTTCTTTTTCCTGTTCTTTACATACATCACATTATTAACTCAGTGTTTGTGCTTAATTTTTCTTTAAGTTAAAATGGCTATTTCTCATAGGTTTTTAAATCAGAGGTGCCAATTAAATAATTATAGTAACAGCGAAAGTAGAGTTTACACTTAATACTTACTAAGAAGTTATAGCTACATGGAGGTATCACTGAACCACCTTCTAATAAAATTGTAAAATTATAGTTTCTTGTTGGATTGCAAACCAAAAATAAAATATGTGTGAGAATGCTAGCCATACAAAGGATTCCTTATCATGAGACTAGTCCATTGTCAGGGTTAAATGAGGCTTGTTTTCTGCACTCTCATTTCTCTTGGTAAATGCTGAATTCTCCCAAATGAGTTCTGACAGAGTCCTTCCACTTAGGATCCAATCATTCCCATTGGGGAGCATCCCTCAAAGGCCCTACATTTCCTTCAGTCCGATTTCCCAGTGCTCACTCACCCTGTTCAACAGTGGGGTCCTCCACTTAGCTCTCTACTCCCCCTGCCCCACATTTTAGGGCCCCCTCTTTGCCAGGTCCAGAACCCTCAAAGTTCACCCCAAGCACCCCAAGCTCCAGAAAAGTTGCCTGAATGCAACAGCTAAGAATATCTTACACAAAAGTCAAAAGGTTTGGATTTGCATACAGTGCCCTTATTCTCCCATTTGTGAATGTTTTGAAGATCCTTCAGAGAATCGTGAATTTTTTTCTCACTTTTGACTGAAAGCAATCCTGCCATGATATTCAGGTATTGATTATTCAACTAGGAGTTTGTTTTCCTTTTAGGTTTCTTATGTTTTTTTGCCACTTCTAAACTGTCCACTTAAAAAATTTTTCTACTTAAAACAGAAAGTAAGCCCTAGTTCCTCACCTGCTGTTGGTGTTAGAAGCCCTAGGAACAGTCTGACTTCAGAGAAGAAAATGGGGTGAAGTAATGGACTCTTGAGCTGAGAGCCATTGTAATGTTTGTACTCTTGATCTAATAATACGTACTTCCAGTTACGTATTTTAGGAACTGGAAAGTAAGCATTCAAGAGGCTCATGCACAAAAACTATCTTGGCCATATTATTTGTAATGCTGAAAATCTGAAAATAACCTGAATGTCACACAAATGGGTATATACAATGATATAATAATTTAATGAAAAATTATGCAACAGTAAAAAAATATGCTTATATATCATGCAGTGAGATAAGGAAATTTCTGTAGATGGAGAACAAGGCAAGATCATGCACACATGCAGACAGTGTTAAAAAAATGTGTAAAAGGGAAAGACTTCAGCAGGAAGGAAAATATGCCAGATTTTCAATTCCAGTTGAAAAGCTTGTCAGGGAACTACAATTACCATTGGTTCTTTTCCTTTTATGTGTGTGTACTTCAAAAATTGTATAATTATTACTTTTATAATGGAAAACACTTTTAAGGGTTGACCTACTGGGTGGTTCCTATGATCAGTAATTAAGCACAAAAACTTGACTATGAATTTCCTCAGTGCTTATTTATTTAGAAATGTAAGCTTGTGCTGAATATGTTGCTGAAATTCATTCATATTTCATGTCCTTTCTGCTGTAATAAAGATAGCACAAGACTTCAAATAGAGGTAAGTCTCTTTCCAAAATAAAGTAGTAGCCAATAAAAAAAAAATTCAAGGGCAGAAAATGTGGTTACGCTATTGATCAGTGCTCTCCCTGCCATGTGTCCTCTCTGCACATGATTTTGGTTCTGCTTCCTGCCATCTGTGCTGGATTGCCACAGAGCTCATCCCTGAAAGCACCTGTGGTCTCCACCCAGCACCACGCTGATCCTTCCATTCTTCTTAACTTCCGCCACCACACCAGCCAGCTGCTCGTTCGCTTTCCCCACCGACCTTGGGTTCTTCACAATTTGAAATGGACTGTCGTTAGGGACATCGGCAAAGGGCAGGTCCCCATAATCTTTTACATCACATTCTATAAATAAAATCGAAAGTTGCAGGTTACTAAAAAAAAGTTTACATAAAAGCCTGTGCAAGATGATTTTAAATTTACAAAATAGGTATGTTTTCTCAAGTATAGACACAGAAAAAGTCTGAACAGACTGGAGAAGTTGTGAAGGTAGAAACCATGCCTGCTTTTGCCAGAGGACACCATCATCTCGCCCGTGCTACCCCTGCTGCCTGCTGCACACTGGGCTCTCGGGAAATACTCGGACCCATCCAGTTAGGCTATAAATACAGCAGCAGTGGGTGCCCTTCTGGTTTGGGTTTAATGGGTGATGTCGCTGTCTTTGTCTCTGTCTGGGCTCATGTACTTTCTACTTTTCTACAATAAGCATACATTTTATTTGTAATAAAGAAACATCATTTTTTAATAGTACACAAACACACATACATACACCCAGAAAAAAATACACCATTATTTTTTTATTTGCAGTCCTTGGTTTCAATCCAAGCTGTTACCTGCTGAAGCAGTTCAGCTCCCTCTTCTGTCCAGTGGTATTGTCAGAATTCGATAAGAGTACGTGATTACCGTTGATCTTAACACTTCAGCAAGCTCAAGAAATAAAGGTTCTATTATTATACTTTTTAAATAAGGTAACACAAAGTTCCTAAGGACCTGGGTGCACTTCCTAAGGGGCCCTGCATTAGGCCTCAAGATACAAAGCTTCATATAAAACCACGATATGGACTCAGTTCAGTGTTCCCAAGTAAATGGTCGTTGTGCACTGTACTTACTTGTGTCTGTGCGTGTCCATGATTCAGTACCACCATCAAGAGATTTAACTTGAAATCAAATGTGACCGAATTATGCTTGTTTCCTGATGAACTGGGTCAATTCATTTACCCAGGACTTCTGTTCTCTACTGGGTTCTCTCTCTTTCAATTTGTGAAATAAACTTCTTATTTACTAAAATGTATTTATTTGAAGTGTACTGGTCAATGATTTTTAGGAATATCTACAGTCTTTCAGCCACCACCACAATGAAGATTTAGAAAGATTCCTCTACCCACCCCTACACGCCCTCCCAGCCCTTTGCAGTCCAAAAATTGCCCATCTTCTTTACAAAGTGGTTGTATCATTATACATTCTCATCAAATACCCGAGGGCTCCAGGTGGTCCGTATCCTCACCAACACTTCATCAGTGTTTTATATGTAAAGATGACATTTACTTTTGCTATACTTTTAAAATACAAAGTGTTTTTCATTTGGATGCTCACATATGCAAATAGGATATGTACGTAATAGTAATAGTACATATCAGTATTATTAGTGTTTTTTTGTTTATACTTCCCATGTTTATTAATAGCAGTGGTGTAACTTAATACTCCCTTATTATTTCTGATATTACAGTGGATGTCCATAGGCATATTTTCAGAGAGCTTAGGTCTCCTCTTAAAGAAAAATAAGTATCAGTTCTTACAACAACCAAAGAACTGCTCCAGCTGGTGGAAGGAAGTGCTGGGAGAGACAGGCAGAAACTTGAAGAAAATAAAGTTTTGATTTAATAGACCATTCTGATGTTTGTGGTAGGTATTTTTGGATGTAGCTAGCCATCTACAAAAAGTTCTAACTTTGCTCTTCAACTATATGGAAAGACATGGAATTTGACATAGCCATCCTGGCCTAATGGTGGAGCTGTTGAAAGTTCCATAGGTTATTGCCTCCCCACCTGATCCTGACTCAGAGGCTTAGATCCATCCCACTCCCAATTCTTTCAAGTGGCCCAGTTTTCAAAATCAACTGAAAGGACAAGAAAGCTCCTTTTAGACTGACCTTTTTTTTACCAGAGCTAGCTATCTCTTTCCTTGAGTCCATCAGGCATAATTAACTGTTCCTTCTCTGAGTCTAGTCTCTATTCTTAGGACTAGAGAGATTATAAAAGCATCCCCCACACAGGTGTTTTAAGAACTTATACAAACAGGTCATTCGAGATCCAAGTGCCTGGACAATGAACCCAAAGTTAATAGCAGAACAAACCGAAGACTGCATAATCAGCCAGAAACCTCTTAATTTACAACTAACTGCCAGGACTACCCAGTGGCACCTCCTGTTCCTTTATCACCCAATAAAAACTCATAGTCCCAACATTTCACTGCTGGTCTATCTCTTCATACCAGCCCCTTTCCTTTCTTGGAAAGTGAATAAAACTTTACTCTGCCTTTTCTTCTTTTTGTGTATTCTTTCATAGCGCATGGCACCAACCACCCTAACACCAATGACAGAAGGGTGGGATCCAAGGAAGCCTGTTGATGCAACAAGCCACCCAGTTCACGGGGTCTGAGTGGCAAATGTTTTGGGAAAGCCTTGAGACTCTGAGCAACTACCCTGCTTTCCTCCTTCTTCTCTCTCACAGAGCTGGGAAGGTTGGGGTGCTCCGTTCTTCCTGCATACAACTCCTCAATGCTTCTTTTACAAACCAGGCCATAGAAATCTGGTTCCCCATCTGATCCATTGGAGGAGTACACTTTCTGGTCCGAACTTGACCTACCTAAAGCCTGCTGCTTCTCCATTGCACTAAGTCCCCACGAAGGAAAATGGTGTTGTCAAACAGACTCGGTATTATTACTGTTTTATCTCCTCTTACAAATAGGGCTCCTCTTGATAGTAGTGTGTTTCCTGCTGCCCCTTACCTTTTTCCTTTTCAACCCCCTCAATTCCCCTACCACCCACCCCAACTCCAGCTCTTAAACACACATTCTCTTACACAGCAGTCTGGCTGGAAAGACAAAATATCTGCATAAATAAACAATACCAATTGCTCATTTTCCGCATATGCTGCTTTTTTGAATAGGGTGTCTATCCAGGGTTATAGCCAGAGCTGCAGTTCTGTGGTACAGCTCTCATTCCAGACACACCCTCGAGTCACCAAGAGCCCGCTCCTCCCTTCGGAGTGGGAAAGACATCAAGCTGATCATCTTTCAACTTAAAAATGACCTTGCCCTGACTGGCATGGCTCAGCTGGTTGAGCGTCATCCCATTAATAGAAGGACTGCCAGTTTGATTTCCAGTTAGGGCACATGCCTGGGTTGCCCGCTGGTCACCAGTTGGGTCATGTGTGAGAGACAGCTGGTAGATGATGCATCTCTCACACATCAATGTTTCTCTCCCTCTTTTTCTCCCTTCCTTCCCCTCCCACTAAAAAAATAAATAAATAAGGTCTTTTTAAAAATTACCTTGTTCTTTAAGTTTCTCAAGCAGGCCAGCTTTTCTCAATACCTTAGGGCCTTCTTCCACTCCTCCTCGTGGCTGAACAATTAAAAAAATTAAGTAATTCAGGCATCATCTTAATCATCAGATGCACACAAATAGGAAACTCTTAATTATTTAATCAGTTGAATTGTAACTTACCATTTATTGAGTTCTTGAGAGCCAGAAATTTACATAATATTCTCATTTAATTAACAACACAAGGTAGATTGGATTACTCTCATGTCAGATATGAGCATCTAAAATCAGAAAGTTTATACAATTTTCCTACAGGCACGCAGCTGACAAGTGGTAGAGCCTTAGGACCTTACCCAGGTCCTCTGGATTCCAAAACCTTCACCTCCTCTTCGCATCATGCATGTTACCCACATAATAAATGTTCGTTTTGTGCAAAAGTGCTCTGATAGATGGAGATACAATTATTAAAAGGGGTTTGTGTCTTTAAGTAACTCACAAGCTAACTGGACATTTGGATATTTAACCTCAGTGATGGTACTGGGAGATTTGCTTTAACCCGAAAACTGTACGAGATGTCATAACAACAATGACAGGATGCTCTTAACTCTGCCAGACCCAGCGGGTATTGGGTGGAGCAGATGACATTTCAGTTTAGTGTTGCAACACAAGTTCAGGACAATGGATGGGGTGATGGAGAAACTTTGTAAACAGGGAAATGGCTTGAGTAAAGGCATTTGAAAAAATGTGGCATGGGAGAGACCTACATGCAGGTCCCCACAGCAGTGAGGTGGAGGTGTTGGGGACAAAGCAGTCAACAAGGAAAACTCACCTGGGAGCTGGCTGAAACCACAAAGACAACCTGATATTTCAACTTTTGACCTCCTTAATAAACACAGTGAACAAGAATCCCACCCTTGCTGTTTTACACCACGTAAGCTAACCTGCCTTCTCTTGGCAATAAACCTTATCCAGGGTTCTGGTAGATTAGCGATCTAAAGAAACAGCTCTTTTATGTATCTCTCTGATTCTAATTTCCAACAAGACTTTCACATACAAAGTTATTTCCTATTGTCAGAGGAGAAGAGGTGCCAAAAGACATGTGTTTGTCCGTGGGATTGGCTGTGGCACCAAACCAAGCGATATTTCTTCCCAATTCAAATTAGCAGATGACCGGCCCTGGCTGCAAAAAAAATCCCCAGTTCAGGAAACCCGTGCACTTTGCCCTACACAGAGGGGCTTCCTGACACTCTTCTATCCCGTTCCCTCCTCACCGGGCCTGGCTCTCCCCACCCCCCACTCCAATCAAGGAAGCAGAAGTTCTCATTCTTTACAGCCCCATAGAATGCTGCTTGACTCAAATCCTGCCTTTGGTTTTGTGTTAGATTTTGGTCCAAGTTTCTTTAAACTGACACTTAGTAGATGCACAAAAGTTGTCAGTTTGATAAAATTCCATGACCTTTCACCCTCTCCCTAAAAAACTTTAGAACGAATCTTATGGGCCCCTTTGCAAACACAGTATTTGCCCTAACACAGTCACTGAATTTTTCCAGAGTGACCCTTGCTGACATTCTTTTTTATTTCTTTGATTCCAGTTGCATCTCATATCAGTTCTTTCTTATTGCTTCGTTTATATTCCCTAGAGGGGGTATCATCAGCCTAAGGCCTTCTGCTGAGGTCCAGGGGCCAGAGCATGTTCATGCAGTTCCTCCTTCCCTCCCTCCCTTCCTTCCTTCTCCCTTGCTCCTTTTATTTTGTCAGTTATTTTAATTCCATCTTTGCTAGAACCTAACCAAAAATAAGTGAGCATATTGGGGATTTTGCTATTAACTGCAGCATTACAAGAACCACTTCTATGACAGCAAAATGTGGTGGGCACACAATGCAATACACAGATCAGGTATCTTAGAAATGCACACTCAACACCTGTGTGACCTTATTAACCAATGTAACCCCAATAAATATAATAAATAAATAAACAGAATATAGTGTAAAAATGGGAGCCCTACTGTGCTCTAGGTATACATAAGGATAGGGGTTCTAAGCATGTGGTCCTGGATGAGCATAAGGTGGTTTGTGAAACACCTGATTATTTGCTATATAATATATATATATATATTTGCCATATATATATATATATATATATATATATATATATATAAAAGAGGGAAACATTTCTGTGTCAGCAAAATGTCCCTGTGTTCTGGGAAAGGCCTTTGGAGGATTTGCAAGGAAAGTGAAGCAGTATTTACTGACCGTCCAAATGCGGTTGGGTCTGTAACCTCTGACCTGCCCTATTGGGTTTTGCAATAAGAAGCCAGAGTGCAAAGCAAGAGTTCAAAGCTAAGAAGAGTACAACACTGCCTGGGTGAGCAAAGAGAAAGTTCTGAGAAGCCTGCAGAAAATTCCATGTAAAACAACCACCATGACAGAATAACCTTAGGAGTGTCAATTCACACTTGTCTTAATTTGCTTTTTTTTTCCTTCCTCTTTACAGACAGATATAGGTTGAAGTATATGGTATCTGTAATCTTAGTATATTTACCAGAATGAGTGTGACCAGGTAGAAAAAAAAAGAATTTATTTCAATGTTACTGTCATGTTTTGGCAGTCTGGGAGTTTCTGAAACCTGTTAATTAGTCCTTTCAACATTACCAACTTACAGCCAGATTTTCTTTCTTTCACTTTTCTTTTTCCTGCCTCAAAGAGAGGTACACAAAGGATTCTTTAGTCCATGGACTAATACTTTTATAGAATTACTAAAGCTCTTAAAAGTATGAATCATTCACACAGTTGCATAAAGCAATCACATATAGGTTATTTAAATTAAAAGAATGCTGAGGGTTGATGCCAATCTATGAAATTGTTCTAGGCATTAATTATATAACTAAATAAATGTGCTTTCTTAAAATTTTTTCTCTACATATAGACACAGTAGCACTAAAAACAATGAGAACATGGACATCTAAAAAACAAGCTAAAGTGCAGAAATAGCCTATTTCCATTCAAATAAAAATATTTCTTTTCTAAAAGGATGAGGAAAAATTATTTTTTGTTTTTTATAAAAAAAATGTAGTTAATTTACTCTGGATTTTAAAAGACCCAAGTTCCAGTCCCAGCTGCACCACCCTACCAGCCAATCAATGTGGCCTTGGCTGTTACATCACATTTCTATGCCTCGGTTTCCTCACCTATACAGGGAAGACCATGAGTGTGACCGACTCATGGCACCACTGTGAGAATCAAATTAGATGATGCTCATTAAGAACTTGGCTACTATACCAGACACAGGGTAAGCACTCAAAAATGCTATTTTTTATCATTTAAAAAAATTAATGTGTTTTAAAAATAAAATTGAAATGAGGAGTAAAATATTTTACATGGAGTGTTTTTGTTTCAAAAGCAAGTTTACTATGGTTAATTTTTACTTCCTCCACTTTTGTGGGTTTCTCCTGTTAAGAACAGACAACACTCACACATAACCTCACTTGGCAAAGGAGAGATTAAAGCAAGTGCAGCAGCTACTGTAAACTAGAGCCATGAAAATATATACAGTCTATGGAGCTGAGTCATTAAGGAAGAAACGGAGCCACATTAGTGAGGACAAAAGTATAAGCAGCAGATGCGTGTTTCTACCTTTGCATTCTAATGAGGGCTGGGTCATATTTCTTTAGTAAACTTAAAATATGGGCTTCCTATATGACTGAGCTTAATATTCTATTACTTCAGTATTTTATTTATTTATTTATTTATTTATTTATTTATTTATTTATTTTTAGAGAGGAAAGGGAGGGAGAAAGAAAGAGAGAGAGAAACACCAATGTGCAGTTGCTGGGGGTCATGGCCTGCAACCCAGGCATGTACCCTGACTGGGAATCGAACCTGCGACACTTTGGTTCGCAGCCCGCACTCAGTCCACTGAGCTACGCCAGCCAGGGAGTATTTTATTTATTGATTTTAGAGAGAGAGGAGGGAGAGAGAGAGAGAGAGAGAGTTGTTTTGTTTCACATATTTATGCATTCATTGGTTGATTCTTGTATGCACCCTGCCTGGGGATTGAACCTACAGCCTTGATGTATAGGGACAATGCTCTGGACAACTGAGCTACTTGCCAGGGCAATATTTTATTCTAATAAGAAATTATCTCAGTGGAATAAGGAAATAAAACCCCCAAACTTAATTTCTAGAAAACAGGGTGGTGAAGAGACATTTCAAAGTAGTTTGAGCCCCTTGCTGGGGGAAAAGGCAGCAAGGCAAAATACTGCTGAAACAGAAACCATATAAGTTACTTCTTTGAAAAACCTCTCTCTGTGTCAGATCTGTGGAATTCTGCTGTCTAAGCCTGGTAAGCACAATATTTGGCACTGATACCAGGCCCTCTAAGGGTGGTGGGGCGCACCACCCCTTAGAGTGCCCATTTTCAAGGGGAGAAGGCTCTCAAAACCTCTGGAGGTGTTAAGGAAGAAAAGTGGGCCGTGTTCCCCACAGGATTTTAGACTTCTCACTCTTGGTGAAAAGGATGCACTAAAGCAGCTTCGTTCACCTTAATTGTGAAAAATAGATCTCCACAGTGCTAGTAAATAGTACCCACAGAGAGGATTTCTTTTCCAAAGAACTTTATGCATTTAAATGAAAGTTAGCATTAATTATCTTTACTTTGCAAGATGAAAAAATAACAGGCAGTAAAAAAGACTTTTTTCAAGATGTCAGAAGATGAGTTTCAACTTAATTTTTAGCCCCTGAAAGAATGTGTGTAGTATTAATTTATCTGGTCCACAAACGACAAATGAATGGATTAATAATGCCTTAGTCATATCAAGGTTCACTGGGTATGTTTGGTGTCATACCTAAAGCAGAAAAATGTCTTCCCCAAGATAGAGCTGTTCTAAGACTTTTCCATCCCTATCTTAATAATAACCAATGATGTACGTACTGCAAAACCTTTTGCTTCTCACACTTCCCAGGAAACGCTGACCCCAACCAACAAGTCAGCTGCTCTATTCTGGGGCTTGGTGGGGGCCCGGGAAGAAAAACACACGCCAGGGTCCCCGGCAGTGAGCATTTGAGCAATGCTCCACTCAGGAAGCAGGCTAAAAATGTAAGGGAAATTTAGTAGATTCAAATAAAATCGTCTGTGGCTGAGATTAGAAGCCACTAGTATAAGTGGGTTTGTGAGCATAATTGTGCAGTGTTTCAAAATGGTGAGACAATGTTAAACTGTATACTATCTCAGGGCCAGCTTGAACTTCACTAAGCAGACAATAATACCTTACTAATTTTTAAGACTGAAAATTGCCAATAAATTCCAGCGATTCACAGCCAGGCTTTTTACTCACCTGTCCCTTTGAGAAAGGAGCTCCGACAATCCCTATGGATTTTGACTTAGAACTCATGCTCTGGTGTTTCTCGTCACTGCACCCGAGTTCTCCAGCCAGTCACCACTCTCTGCAGCCCTCAATGACAGAAGGCACATACTTTTTCCCACTTATAATTGGGTTGGATCTGTTTACTTTATTCTAATGGGGAAGATGGGCTCCACCTACTGAACCAAAGAATGATAGTGCACTGGAAGTCTCACAAGTTCATGTGTGGAGTAACCATAAATCCTCCAAGTGCAGGCAGGACCTCAGGTTAAGTGAGATTATCATGTCACCAGTTCACAGCCATCTGGTTAGTCATCTAGGGTAATGCCTTCTTTAATCACAATCTTTATTTCCCAATCTTAACAATCATTTCTAATCATAATCAATTCATCACTATCCCATGAACAGTGCCATCATCCTAGTTGTGCCAACTCGGGGAAGGGCATGTACTTCCTCAAGGCTTTTGAGCCCTCCTGTGTCAGAAAGGGCTGGGACTGGCAAGATGATTGCTCACATGCCTTCAAGCCCTACAACCCTGAGTTCAGGTTTCACATGCCGGGGTTAATGGTTAAACAATGAGACACACATTATCCATTAGTAAGGTACAGTCTCAGAGAAAACATACCACTTTCTTTTCTGCTTGTTACTTACAGAAAATCTTAATTACTTCATTAATAACCCAGAGGTGTTACCATACTAATTTGTAAATACAGTGCGTAGAGAAACAGTTTTCAGACTCATAACACATAATCAAGACAGAGAAGTAAAAGCAGCCAACACTGATTTTTTATCATGTGCCAGATGCTGTTCTGTCCTATTATCTCATTGAATCCTTATGCCAACTTTATGTCAAGTCTCCTCTTTAGTGCCATTTCACTGATGAAGAAACTGAAGCTCAGAGAGGTTGCCAAATGTCACACACAGATTACAGAGGAAGAGCTATGATTCACTCTTAAGCATTCTGGATCCACCTAATCTCTGGGCTTTACAGTCAGAACACAAGCTATGTATCAAACATCCATGCCCATCAAATTTGTGAGGGAAGTTATTTATTGTCATTCAAAAGTATGGATTTAGAAGAAATGCACCAAATTTTTTTTTCAAATTTAAAATGACATGATTGTAATTTAGCAGGAAAATTCACTTAGTAGAAACAGATTTCTTTTTCCTATTGGTGGGAGAGAACATTGTGGAGTATTCAAATTCTGTGAGGGCAGAGAATTTTGTCTTTTGTATTCCCAGGACTTAGAACAATGCTGATATGTGATAGACACTCAATAAGTATTTATAGAATGTGTGAATGAGAAAACCAAGGTCTCACTGGTCCATTTTATTTTAATAGTTAAATTATTTTTATGTATTGATTTTATGGAGTGTTGGAGGCCGTCCAACAACTGACCCTTGACACAGTCGGGACGGATGAGACGCGTCTGCACAGCAGAAGTGGCTGTGGCCGGGTCTCCTGTCTATCTCTTCCCGTATGCTTGTCCCTATTAGCATCAGGTGGTGAGATTTTTGGACACCTGTGCTTTATAACAAAAAACTCTGCATGATGCCTCTGATTCTGCGTGAAATGACGTGCTGACCACTAACTAGAGACCCCTAGCAACCCTAATGCTGCCTGCTTCCCCCACCTGGGAAGTTAAGGACAAAATCAAACTATGGGCAGACCAACGGCCAGAGCGCTGAAGGAAGCTGTTGCTAGGAATGTTTTGTAGGGAGTCACCATTCAAAAGCTCGAGACTTACTAGAACCACAGCTTTTCCCATGCCCTGGGCAGGAGGGGTTATTGATGGGACCAGGTAAACAGAAGAGGAAGAAGTTTCCATTTAAATATAATAATCTCAATACATGGAAATGAATACAAAACATGCCCCCCACCAAGATGTATAAATCAAAAAACCTAGGCAAAGATCCAGTTACCTAATTGAGATAAATTTAATCTCAATGGATAATAGTTGATTTTTATATATCTACAAATCACCCCTTGCATTCTTTTAATTTAGACCAAATTCTAGGATTTTAATAGATACCTAGTTATAATTGGCACCTGAAAGTTTGTGCCTGTATAGCTTCGTTGGCTAACTGATTAATGACCCTCTTGGTCAAAATAACCTTTGTTTAATATGGTTGATCTGTGGGACTTCTTGTACTTTTCGGTTATGTCTTTGTTTAACATGATTGATCTGTAAAACCTTCACCAAAGTTATTTCTATGGTAACCGTTTCTGTTTTACTAATCATATTATGTTTTGAATATTGTATAACCTCCCCTATAAAAATAAAGATCGATTTTTCTCGGTGAGTCCATCAGGTCTAGAGAGCCTGGCTGTCCTCCGGCACCTCACCTGGTGTCTCGTTTTGCTTGAGCCATTCCTCCTTCGGGGACTCGGGGACCCAGAGACCCGCTGAGGCTGGACCCCGGCAAGGGAGAGGAAAGGAAAGGAGGAAGAGAGAGAGAGAGATTTATTGCTCTACTTTCTAAAAAATTCATTGGTTGATTCTTGTGTGTGCCCTGACTGGATCTCAAACCTGCAACCTTGCCATATTCAGATGATGCTCTAACCAACTGAGTGAGCTACCTAGCAAGGGCTCCCAGGTCCATTTTAACAGGATCGTATTCCAAATAGGCTTCCTATCTTTCATTGTGGATTTGCTTGCATATCCTAGATATTTACTTGGAATATTTTGTACAACTGGATATTACCCTCTTATGGAAGCAATTTTCAACCTTTTTCATCTCATGGCACACATAAACTAATTACTAAAATTCTGTGTGCACCAAAAAACATACTTTTTGCCAATGTAACAAGAAATAGGTATAATTTTGATTCATTCATACCTGATGGCTATTGTTGTCATTTTTTTATTTGACCATCTAAGGGAAAAGAGGTCAGTGTCTCTAACTAAATTGTCGGGTATTGCATGTTTACAAAATCCATGTGGGACACCAGTTGAAAACTGCTATTGTATGGTATTGATACTGCAAAAATATTTTCACAAGTGTCTGTAATCTGACAACTTTGTATATGTTATCACCCCAAGCCCTTAATTTTATAATAGGCAGTTGAATAATTTCCCCCATGTGTTTTGTTATTTGGAAATTTTGATTAAGTCCTTCCTACTCCAATAGCACAATATACCTTTCTATGTTTTTGTCCATTTGCTTCAGAGCTTATCTTTCACATTTACTTCTTTAATCCGTCTGCACACATTTTGGTACATTGTGAAAATTTTCCAACCATGCTTTTCCTGTCTAGTCCATCAGTTTCCTAAAAAAACCTGTATAGTCCCTCCATTTCACTTCATTGACTCAAATGGCATCTTCATCATATACCAGTTCTGCTCAACACACAGATCCGTCCCTGCGCTCTTTTTTCTGTCCCACTGGCTTATTTACCTGTGGATGCCAAGTCCACACTGGTTTATCATCATGGTTTTAGGACATATCTTACTCTTCCTTGGACAAGAGTAATATTTTTGCTCTTTTTAAAAATTGATTTAGTCGCTTATGCACCCTATCTGCTCAACTCCTAGTGGCTCCACCCCTCCAAGATCGAGAAAATTCCAGGACAGGTCAAGTGGCTCTGGGGCGAGGGACACACTCCTTAGCTTCTCTGAAGCCTCATCAGCAATTCCCCCATCTGGGGAGATCCACAAGCTCCATTCTCTCAATTCTCTGCAGCCCCATCCTGTTCAAGCCTGTCTTGTCCTAGCAGAATCTGGGACAGACTGTGTGGCTCTAGAACAAAGACAATTTTTCCCCCAAGCACCCAACCTTGGTCTGTTTGGGCCTAATAAACTCTGCTGGCCTCACGCTGATGACTCTCTGAACCCCGCCCCATGATAAATGCATGTAGCAGCTAAACTTAGTATACCCTAAGGACACTTGCTCAGTGGCTACAGACCTAACACAGACACTGAGTTTGAGCCTGTGTCACTCCGGTGAGTACCACTAGCCTCTAGCTAGTGACTCACTGGAAACCTGCCTCATGCAACTTGAATACTCCCAGGGGTACTTTTAGTGACCGAACAGAACAGGCTGCCTGTAGGCAAAGGCAGATTTCCTCATGCCTTGGGACTTATGCTGACCTGCCTCTGGGCCCAGTGCTGGTAAAAACCAGCCTTGGTGCACAGCTTGGTCCCTCCTGTGCACACCCAGGCCTGGTAGAGGCAGCAACAAACTGTGGATCAATTTATAGCTCTAAACAGGTTGTTCAGGGCCAGTCACATGTCAGCATCTGACAATGGTCTATACCAGACTCCCTCCCAAGAGGCCCCAGAGCCACCACACCGTGACCAGCTTCAGACAACATAAGAGCAGGATCCAATAAGCTTCAGAAATAGTTTCTGAAGGAAAGTCTCGGCAGGCACCAGACCCTGCTGAGGTGAGTTCTGCTCTGTGTGGTCAGAACCTGCACAGTAGCTCATACACGTGGTCAAGGTTTATCTTCACAGCCAGCCAGTGTGAGGGTCAATCCCACCCATGAATGGGCCAAAAACAATCAAAATTCAATTATAACAGGAAGGCCTGCATAACCCATTCAAGGGACATTCCTGGAGAACCCAGCTCAGGTGATCAAGGGTACTGTACCACTGGGTCCCACAGGCCACTTACTACACAAGACCACCCTACAAAGACTGGGAGTCATAGCAGATCTACCCAATACATAGAAACAAACCCAAAGAGGCAACCAAAATGGGAAGACAAAGAAATATACCTCAAGTGAAAGAACAGAGAAATCTCCAGAAAAAAAAATAGCTAAGTGAAATAGAAGCAAGCAATTTATCAGATATAAAGTTCAAAACAAATTATTGTAAGGATGCTTAATTAACTTAGTGAGAACTACAACAGCATGAAAACTTGCTTAGAAATCATTTTAAAAAGTCAAAAATAAAAATACAATATCTGGAATGGAGAATATACTAGAAGGAATAAAGAGTAGGTAAGATAAAACATATAACTGAATCAGTGATTTGGAAGATAGAGTAGAAAAAACATCCAATCAGAGCAGCAACAACAATAAATTATTTTTAATGAAGATATTTTAAGGGCCCTTTCAGACAACATGAAGCATAACAATGTCCTCATCATAGTGGTACTAGAAGTGGAAGAGAGAGAGAGCAAGGTA